GGGGGGGAGGGCGCCGGGGTCCGGGGGTGCCCGTCTGCGGGCAGCGTTGAACCGCGAGCTCCGCCCGCAGTACCTGTTTCAGCAGGGGCTCCCGAAGCCGCGATGGGGTGACGTTTCTGTTAGATTCTGGAAAACTTGCGCGATGCACTGCATGACCTGGTTTGCTTAAAAGCTTCGTTCCGACCTCGGGGAGTTTAGCTAGTAGCTTCCCAGAGTCCGGGTCTTGCTTTGGCCAGTGTTTGTGGTTTTGGAAACCGCGTGAGTCTCTGCCCACGCTCGCGGGACACTGTCCGAGTAGGGTTCATGGGCGTGCTTTCTGGCAGGCGGGTTGGAGTCCACGTTCCCCTCCGTGTTAGGCTCCTGCGACACCGTCCTTGGCCCCCACTCCTGGGACACTGGTTTCTGGGTACTCCTTTGAAGTGAAGTAGGAACAAAGCATTGTTGGAGCGCACGTCGCTGGCCCCTTAGGCGGGATGGAGGGGTGCAGAGTGGGAGGGGTGGACGGGTGGCAGTAGTTTATCTGGTGTGGAGAGAGCCCTTTTACCTGTGTGTGCTCCTCTGTACGCTGAGGTTTACAGTGTGAATTTGGCTTTGAAGCCTGCCTTTCTTTTACTTTACCAGGTGAAACTGACCTTGCCAGGCATGGATTCGTGGCTGGTTTCACGCACATCTTTGTGTAATTCAGCAAGTACATGTTTTCTGGTAAATAATACTACTGATTATCTGTTTTAAACAGGCAGTCATGGATCAGGTAATGCAGTTCGTGGAGCCAAGCCGGCAGTTTGTGAAGGACTCAATTCGGCTGGTTAAAAGATGCACCAAACCAGACAGAAAAGGTATTAGTGTTACACGGTGGAAGAAAATGCATGCTTACTTTTCTAGGGCTTTCATTTAACATCCTAATTAATAACCAGTGCGTTACTTTAAGCACACCTTTACTGATTTATGGGCCTTCCTTGCTTTGGCACGTTATTCTTAAGTTGTGTGCAGTCTGTTGTCTGAAGTTTTACCTTTTTTATAATTTCAGCTGGTGTAAAATTACTCATTGGAGCCTGTTGTCCATACTGTATTTAAGTTAGTCATATATTTCAGTATCTCCTATGTAACCAACAGAATTTGTCTGCTTTTATCCGCTAATTGTGAAGTTGCAATTATAATACAGATTATAACACATACTACATAAATAATGTAATGGAGAATAGTCTTTGTTTTCATGAAGCTTTGATTATAGGGGAAGACTGTCACAAACAAATAATTGCAGTTTTTAAAAAATTACTGCAAATTACTTAACAAAAAGTTGGTGTTAGGGAGGATAAGTAGGTAGTATATTATAGGAGGATTAGTCAGGTGCTCTGGGACAGCATCCCTGAGGAAATAATACAAAAAACAGAAACATAGCAGAGTTGTAACCTTTCTCTGCCATTGTTCCTGACCTAATTTGATTTTTTTGAGCCTTACTTTTGACTTTGTCATCGTGTAAGAAGTGCTCGATCAGTTATTTATTATGTACTGAGGAGAAGGTTATGAGTCTACTTTCATTATCTGTTTGTTACATTAAAAATTCTAAGAAAAATACTCTTTTATCCTCAAATTTCTTTAAAATTTTGGTCATTGGCTGAGAGGAACAGTTACTTTCAGTATTTGTTGATAGATTCACTAGAACACATACACACTTTTAGTTTTGATATTTACTCAAATATCAAAACAGAAATGAAACACTTGTCAAAAACTTTTCTATTACTATATTAATGGTCTTACTTTTTAAAAAATTGTGTACCCTGCAAAACAAAACAAAGAAAACATAATTAAGGCTAGGGATTTAGCTCAGGGGCACAGCTCCTGCCTGGCAAGCACGAGGTCATGAGTTCAATTCCCGGTATGGGGAGGGGAGCGCAAAAAAAAACCCCAAAAAACAAAGAAAAAATTGTGTTCCCTGCAGGGGAAGTATACAGCCAGTAAGCTTATTCATGTTCCTGATGTTTCCCCCCATACTTTTGAATGGAAGATGAAAAAATTAATGAGAACATTGTTTATAAATGCAGAATTCCAGAAGATTGCCATGGCAACAGCAATAGGATTTGCTATCATGGGATTCATCGGCTTCTTTGTGAAATTGATCCACATCCCCATTAACAACATCATTGTGTAAGTAAACATTGTGAAACAGGCAGTGTCTGGGGATGGATGAAAGTCGGAACTGTTTGGGTTGAGAATTAGCCTGTTTCATCAATACACAGATACATCTCTTGACTCTTTAATGCTGTGGAGTCTGCTGACGTTTATCGTGTACCTGATCCTTTAAAGTGCTTTATATATCACACTGTCTGTACAGCAACTCTGTGAGCGGGGCACGCGTTCCTTTAATAAAATGGTCAGGAAAGTAGCAGATGGACTTGGTGTATCACTGAGTGTACAGTGACGGAAGCAAGTGCAGATCCTCTTTATGCTGTGCCTTACTGATATTTAAGGTGTGCAGGAAGTGCTTGCTGTCCGAGTTAGGACAGATCACCCAGATCCATAGCCTCTTTTTTTTTTGGTACCAGGAATCGAACTCAGGACCTTGTCCTTGCCAGGCAGGCACTTGTGCCACTGAGCTGTATCCCCAACCCTGTAGCCTCTTGATTGTTACTAAATAGCTGTCCTAACCTTGGCAAATGTACTTGGGCTCTCTGTGCCTGGTTTATCCAGTGTGGGGAGTGGTTCTTACTTGGGTTGTAGTGAAGACTGAAACCAGGTTGGGTGAGACCTGCGGTGGAAGTTGTGTGGTAATGAGCCCTTGGCGGCAGTGGCAGAGTGGTGCGGGTGTGTTGGAGAGGCGGGGAGAAGGCTCAGAGACTCAGGTGCGTTTATTCCTTACAAATGTCTGTTTTCTAAATTCATTGCAAGTCCTTGGGATGCCTTATGGCGTGACAGAGTAATCAGGGTTACATAAAGTTTCCTGAGAGGACTTGGTGGGAGTTGCATACTGTGATTTTGCATTCATTGATTCCCAGCCTCATCTGCCCTTCAGAGGTAATAACGCCTGTCTGATTTTATGAGGTGGTGGAGTTTGAGGCAATTGGAAAAGTTTTTTGAACTATAAATCTATTGAACTGTAAATCTAAACACTGGCGCTTGAGGTTGTCTTTTAAGTGAATGAATATTGTCAGACGGCTTTCTTCAGCGGGCTGCCCTAGTTACGCCGAAGTGCTGCACGGTGAGACTGCAGCATCATGGAGAGTTAGACGTGGAGGGAACCAAGTCATTCATCTCTTGTTAGTTTGGAAGTGCTTTTTATGTTATTGAGGAGAAGTGTCGTCCTTGAAATTGGGAAATCTTGGAGAGCAAACCAGAAACGGTCTCTGCCTGCACTTTCCTAGTCAGTGAAGAAGAGGTAGAACAGCGCTCCCTTGGTCCCAGCTTTCACACTTCCTGCTCTTGCCTCAGTTGGGTCCAAGGTCAGAAGGCTTGCACTGATCTTCCGTGTGATGTGGAGCTTGTCGGCTTGATAAGCGCTGCCCTTGGGAACAACATACAAACCTTTTTACGGTGTTTTGATATGTAAATGAGCCCCTGCACTTAGCACTGCATTTTTATCGGCCTCGCCAGACTTCACTATCTCCTGTGGGTCCCCTTAGGTACATGTGCCTGTCTTGTTCAGATTGTGAGTTCTGAAGCAGAGCTGTTAGGTTACTTATATTACATGAATACATAAACACACTTCCTGTGGAACCCAGTCTAGTGCCCCGTCTCAGCCCTTGAGGGAACGGAGTAAATGTGAGTTAAAGGCATCCCTCAACTTAAGGTTCTTGTCTTTGTGTGAGGGTGATGATGGTAGCCATAACAGCCGACCTTCACCACGTCCAGGACCTGATCTTGCTCCCTGTGAGTCAGTGCACTCCGTGCTTGGGAGGAGAGTCAGGACGGGGACCAGATTGTTGCACTTGCATGAGTTCTAAGGGTGAAGCAGCATGAATCTTTCAGGAGTGAGTCACTTAGAAAAATGTATAGCTAAAAAATTGGTTTCATGTTTAAAGAGTTAAAAATCTTCTAGTTTTTTTTTTTAATCTTAAAGTGAAGCCCAAATAAAACATTTTGTGAGAAAAGGTACAGATAACTAATTCTTTTTATGTTAACCCATGATAGCTGTAGAACTGAAAGAAATTTGTTTTTATATGTCACTGTTTAAATCATTTTGAGATGATAGCAAGGAAATATAACCATAGGCTTTTCTTCCGTTAGATTGAATTATCACATTTTTCCTTTTTATTTATTTATTTTTTTCAATTAAAAAAGTCAAGACAATGCCCATGGCATTTTGATTTAAAGGAGTTAAGCATGTGCTGGTGTTGTGACTGTAGCACCCCAGTGTAATAGCATAAGCAGTTAAAGTGCGTAGCTCTGAGGCTGCCCTCGGGGTGTATCATCCCGTTCACCTGGCACTGCTGTGCTGAGAGTGCCCTGACAGTGCAGTCTTGGAGTCCGCTCTGTTCCTCTGCTGTCTTCCACACACCGGGGTCAGACCAGGGCCTTCGCAGGCTGGCCAGGCGCTGCACCAAGGAGCCACGTCCCAGCCCCGGGCGGGCTGTGCTCTGGATTTGTGCAGTGCTGGGCTGTTTGGAGACTAAATCGCCTCACACTGGCTGCGGCCTCGGAGGCTCCTGCTCTGGACTTGTGCTGCTAACCCTGAGTCGGCACAAAGGCGGCTTCGCCTCTTTGTGATCCCCCTGTGCACCCCACTCCAGGGGCCGTCACGGTGTGCGAGTGAGGTCCCCACCACGCTCATCTGAGCGTCCAATCCCAGCGGGTTTGTTGACCCCGGAATGCAAAGCAAACTCTCAGCCAGCTGCTGTCCTGTGATTAATACATTTTTGTCATGGTCAGAAGGAAATTATGCCGGGCAGTTCCAAGAGGACATTTCTGAAATGAGCAGGGAGGGCTTTAAAGCAGTGCTGCTCCGGAAGCCTCTCCCCAGTGATCTTTGTGGTTCCAGGGTTTTAAAGTTCATTGTACTTTTTAAAAACGTTATCTTGGGGCACAGTTAGGTGTGGTTCTCAAGTAAATGAGAAATTTTTGATTCCAAAAGATTATAGCATATTACATTTCAAATAGTTGTGACTATTAAAGTCTTACATGTGCTCAAAACCGATCCCATTTTTCTTTCTTTTGCAGGGGTGGCTGACCACTTAGGAAGAATGTTTTTCTTGGCATCTTGGGGGTTGGAGAAGCTCATGAAGTAAAAATTTGCCTGTATGCTTTGTGTTTTTGTTTTTTTCCCCCCTATTAAGGTGTTTCTATTTGTAAATTAAAATACTTTCAAAATAAACAAATTTCTCTTTTCCCATCACATATTTCTCAGAGTTAAAGATAAAAAAGAATTCTTTCAGCCTTTCTCTTCCTCCCTCCGTCTCTCTCCCTCCCTCCCTTCCTCTTTCTTTTTTTCCTTTCTATCTGTATATCTCTGTGTCTTCCATCTATCTGTCCCTCTTCCTTTGTTTCCTTTCCCTTTCTCTTCCCTTCCCATCCCTTCCCTTCTTCTCCTTTTCTTTTGCTTTCCTTTTCCTTCCTTCCTTCCTTCCTTCCGTCTCTCTTTCTTTGTTCCTTTCTCTGTCTTTCCTCCCTTCCCGCTCTCTGGTACTTTGGTTTGTAGGACAGAACTAGTAGATTTGGTGAGATACAGCGCTTTTGGAGCCTTCTTCTGTCTTATCCCTCTGAGCCCCTGCAGTGAAGTCCCAAGGCTGCCTAACCTACACACCACACCCCTTCGTTCTCATGGTGCCAGCTGCAGTGTGAGGTCAGTGCCAGCAGGTCTGGTATCTGTGAGGCCCGTCCCAGTGCCTCATCCTGAGTCCTCACCTGGGGAATGGGACGCAAGGATGAGAGTCAGGCGTGGGACACTTGGGTGGTGTCCAGGCCCTGCTCACCAATATTTGCCCGGGTACAGCTTGGAGGTGAGGTTTCTGCCACGGTGTTGGGGGTTTGGCCCTCACTCCCTAGCATCTGCTGTCAGATGAGTGTTTTCCTCTTGTGGACACCAAGCAAGGAAAGGATAGCAGGGTGAGAAACTCCTCCAGAGCCCAAGGGTGTGGTAGTATTTTGGCCCACGACTACTTAAACTGTAAGCAGGGAGTCCAAAATAGAGTTTATTTATGTTTTAAAGGTATCCCGCTACTTCAGTTTGTTCACTCAGTGTTTATGTTCTGAGTTCTAGACAGTTTTTTTTCTTTTTCATACTGGGGATGGAACCCAGGACCTTTACACTGGGCTACACCCCCTGTCCTTTTATGTATTTTTAAATGACCCAAGGGCTGGGGATTCAGCTCAGCGGCACAGCGCCTGCCTGGCAATTGCAAGGTCCTGAGTTTGATTCCCAGTACTGGAAAACAACAACAACAACAACAAAATCAGCAAGTGACTGTAAAGTTTTACAAATAAATAAATAAATAAATGCATAAACTGTTTGATACATTTGAGGGCTGGAAATACAGCTCAGTGGCATAAGTACCTGCCTGGCAACCTTAAGGTCCTGAGTTTGATTGCTGATGTCAATGAATAAATGAATGAATGTTGACCCAGGGTCTCCTTAGGTTGCTGGTTTCCCCAGACTGGGCTCCAGCCTTGGACCTTCTGCATGGTAGCTTGTAATCTCTTTACAATTCGGTGACTGCGTACATTTAAGTGACCGTCACCTCACCCTTAGTAAGTCCCTTCGTCTTTCTGTGTTGCCTCTGAAGTCTGAGGTCCAATGTCTGGCAGGCCTACAGTGGCAGACATGCAGGTAGGCTGGGCCACCAGGCCACCTGGCTTCTGTGGGCCTCCCTCGTCCCTTGGCGCCACCCCTCCTGAGGCCTGTCCTTCCCACACTTGCATTGGGATTGAATTCCTAGCGCAGGTTTTGGGGGAGCACCTTGGAGCCCCAGGAAAGAATGTAGTGGTCAACAGTGACCTGTACTCAGGTTTGAGACCCATGTTTCAGAGACCAAAGTATGTTTTTGTAGTAACAGCGTTCTGCTTTTGCAATGCCGAGTTTTAATCTGGAAGTTGTGTCAGGAAAATGGAGATGCAGTGAAGCCTGGGCCGACTCATACACCCACCTCGTACAGATCTTTTGCCCCTTGAGAGGCTCAACATGTTTGTGTGTATGTGTGCATAAGGCACGTGCATGTTCAGTTGTCTGTGTACCCATCTACAACATGTATACATGCTTAGCATGTGTGTCTGCGCTAAGCGTGAACGATTACCCCAAAGTGCTTGCCTTGCTGCTAAGTTTTGTTGCAGGAGAAGTGAGTGGACATCCATTTGTCTCACATCAGAACTGTCAGTCTGTGGATGTCACACATACTGGCCGCTCAGTTAATGCGATGACACAACTGGTTCTTGATACAGCAAATAAAGCGGTCCGCAGATGTTTCGTACTCACCCTCGTAAGTGAAATGAGGGCTGACCCAGCGTGCTGATGAGCAGGAAACCTTCATAAGCAGCAGGGCAGTTCCGTAAGCAGGGAAAGACCAAGACTCGTGGGGTCTTTGTGTTGAAAATCACTGTCATTCCAGCGTGCATGCGAGTCACCTGAGGGATGGCTTAAAATCATTTCTAGACACCTGCAGCAAACATGCCGGTCCCTTCTCAGCACCTTGCCTTCCCCTGGGCCCCTGTACTTAGAGCAACCTCAGCCACTTGGTCCACCAGAGTGAGCAGGCAGCCGCAGACATGCCAAGGGGAGGCGGGGAGGGGCGGGCAGGCCTTGCCTCAGTGCCCCTCTCCACACGAGTGCTGGAAAAGTACTACGGGCAGTAGGAGCCGCTTTTGTATATTGTGCTTGAAACCCGCCCTTCAGTCAGACAGTCACGGCTGGAACCGTGCGGAGTTCTCCTTAGAGTTACCCAGGGCCTGGTCCGGGCTGCCGCAGGAGCTTTTGCAGGTGGATCTCCCTGCGTGGACGCAGTCGGTTCGCAGGGCCTACCCCGCCTGTGAGCTGTGTGGCCACCGCTAGGACAGATGCGTTCGTATTTTGCGGTGCCGGGCGTCGGGCTGAGTGCCTTGCCCTTGCTAGGCTGATGCTCCACCAGGGGGCGGCATCCCTAGTATTTCGTTCATACTTTTTGAGTTCCTAGGAGAGCTTGGTTGATTTTTTTTTAGATCAATCTTGCTCTTACTGCTGTTTTTTAGGGTTTTTAGAAGGCGCCTAATAAAAACTCAGTGTCTTCATTCCACAATTCAGAGTTCATTAAAGTGGAACATCAGACAATTAATTAATTACAATTCAATCAAAATATATTTGCATTTTCCCAACCTGCCACAGCTGCCCTCCAAAAACCATTGCTTGATTGCTTTTTACTAGGCCCTCAGGGAGCGCTTGTGAATTTCTAGGTGAATGCAGTTCATCACGGATACCAGCTTACGTGTGGGGGGCCATATGCTGTGTGGTGTTGATACCTGCATCAAGGTTTCAACTGTCAGTTAATCCTTACAATAACCTTGATGATACTGCTACTGTGTTCCTCAGAATTTGTCCAGTGTCAGTACTCATGGCCACCACACCCCGCCCCTGGGGCTGTCACTTCTCACCTTCCACCCTACAAGGGTCTGCTCCGCAGAAGGGGGCGTGTGACTGACTCACGGCCAAGTGATAACTGCACAGAGCGGCCGCTCAGCAGTGCTGTTGAGTCCATGTTGGTACAGCAGGTGGTTCTGACCGCGGCCTAAGCCCTGACCTTCTCTGGCAGTAGCAATCTATAGTCCACCCAGTGTGAGGTGAGCAGGGCCAGGCGTCTGATTGCTGTCCCTGCTGTCCACTCCTCCCATGGGCCTGTGTCTCTTTTCATGATGGTGGTGGGAGTTTAGGTCTCAGAGGAGGTCACCTTTTTCATGGTGTCACAGCTTATATTTTGGCTCTCGTGCTTTGAAGGCCACGCGGGGTATGTAGGTGTGTACTGGGGGGTGCACCTGCAGTCTGCCCAGGAGGGCGAATGAAGGAAAAGCATTGAATCCTGGAGAGGCCTCTGAGATTGCTCAGGTAGCAACGAATAGTGCCTCCTTTCTCCACAGTGTCTGCAGGCTTCGTGGAGAAGCACCCGGGGAAGCACAGTTCCTTCAACTTTTCTGGCATCATTCCCTCTAAACGTAATTGGAATAAAAGGTCCCACCCCTCTGTGTTGTAAAAATGTCAACTCAGGCATGAAAGCACTTCAAGAGCAGAGAGTGTGTGGACCTGGGCCTGACCCTGGGTTCTGGGTTTTCTGAGGTCTCTTTCCAGAGGTGGTTTCTGGGTTCTTGTCTTCAACAAAGAATTGGAAAAAACAAGGACAAAGGTAGGAAGATTTTACATTCATTAAAGGTAGTAAAATGAGGGGCTGGGGATTTAGCTCAGCGGCAAAGCGCCTGCCTGGCAAGCGCAAGGTCGTGAGTTCGGTTCCCGGTACCGGAGAAAAACCAAAAAAAAAAAAAAAAGTTAATAAAATGAACACACTGCAGAGTGAGTTTGGGCCAAATAAAAGTAGGAAAAAGTACACTGCAGCTGGAGAGTGCACCACCGAGAGAGCACAGGAGGGGCCGGCTCACTGAGGACATCTTCATGTACCTCCCACTCCGGGTAACACCAGGTCTAGGCTGTCCTATCAAAAGTCTGCTCGAGTCCTGTGAGAAGACTGGAGACAGCACTCGGATTGGTTGCACGTGCAGGGCTTTGGGCAATGTGCCGCACTTGTGTCCTGGGACTTTGCAGTGAACAGATCACACCTACTTACCCAGCCAGTTTGCCATGCCCTGATTTCCTGCCTCAGGCATGGGATTTCAGGAGCTCAGATTCCTGTTCCTCTGTGCACTGCAGTGTTTCTTGTTCATCATATTCTGTTTCATTTCTGAGGAGCCCTGAGGAGTAGGTGATGAGCTTGCTACCTGTGGCCAAGAAACTAGGCTCTAAATAATTTGAACATTTTCTCATAGTTTTAAGATGTCAGTGAGTCATTCCTTTTGTTAGCACAGTCCACTTAGCAGCTGTGGGGCCTCGGGTAAGCCGTACCTTCTCTGCCTCAGCTCCTTTGACTGAGTTGCAGGGCTGTAAGTGTGTGCACATTAGTGACTGACATTATTAATAAGCAGAAGAGCAGGGCTGCAGTCAGCCTGGTTAGAATCCTAGGCATGGCTTTTAATAGCCATGAAGACTCTAAAGTGTTAATGGGTTTTAGGTTATCTTTTATTTTCCTTTCTCTTTCTTTCTTTTTCTGGTCCTGAGGACTGAACTCAAGATATTC